GATATAATATTGTATATGCAGCATTATTTAAATTGTTCCAACAGACATTATCAATCACATATTAAACTTTTATGTTACATTACTATTTTAGAGAAATTATTTCTTTTACATCAACATGATAATATGTTACACATAAATGATTTCAAATTTTTATTTGTTGAAAGTTTTACTTATAATTGAGATAATTAAATACATTTAAGAATCGATTTCAAGATATAGTGAAGGGCTGCTTTTTTATTTTTTATGAACATTCTATAGAATCCTTTCCTATTTTCTCTACGTTTTTAATACGTAATTATGTCTTGGTTATTATGATGAATCCAGTTATGAGAAAATATATTTTGAAAATGATTTCTATGGCTTTATTTCTCGAAATTATTATTTACTAACTTACTACTTCATTGTGTATTGATAAATCTACATGAATTCAATGAAGAAAGTGTGTAACTCTATTAAATACATTTATTAAACTATATTAAGACATATTCAAAAATTGGTTATAGTTATTCCGGAATTGTTTTGCAGTTCGACTGAACATGACTGTAGAAAAACTAATTAAATATTAAGTCGTATTAATGAAAAGAAGTATTAGCTTTTACTGAGGATTTTGTAAGTAAACACTCGATTCCAAATGCACATGGAATAACGTACTTAAATAATAGATACAATAATCACTGAATTTTTTAATAAATATTTAAAATGCATACGATTTTCCAGCATTTATTATCAAGTCCCAATAGAAAACTATATACAAGAAATCCATCATTACTTTTCCTTATAACTAACAGATACAATCATTTCCTTTTTCTATACAACCAATTATTAAAACCTTTATACAACTTCTCCACTTTCAATACAATAAACCCCTAAAAAAAGAAACTAAACTTTTATTCAGTTCCATCAAAATAATTCGTCGGTGAACGATGAAAATTTCTTGGTATTCGTACAAACTTATCAAAATCAATTATATTAAAATATTTTTTTTTCAAGTCGCTAATAACTACAATAGTTACCGCGATCTTAACTCTACACTCCGTTGGCTTTGCTACAGAAGTATAATCTACATTACAGACACCATATGATTAATCTCAAGTTGCAAAATTCTTCTTTTTACTCGAATAAAGCAAACTGACAAATGAAATTAAAATAACGTGAATCCATGAATATTCGTAATGTGCCTTTTTCGAAACGAAATTTTAAGTTCTTGAATGTTTCGCTATAAAAATGATCCACCATGGTATTAAAACTATTCAGAGTGCAAACAGTTAAACATGATTACAAAAATAAAGCAAAATTATTTTCTTTTTCGCGACTGGTTATCTGATATCTTCCCGATTGGGGCGGAATTTCCCATCGTTGTTTTCCTAGCACGGAAAAAGAGGGAGATATACGGTATATGTATAGTTGCGCGCGCTTGTGCAACGACTTTCTGCGCTTGAATCGCGAGCGAGTTCAGTCAACGAGTCGCGTTCGTCAATACTACGCGGTCTAGTGCGCGTTTTTCCGAACGTACCGCCGCGTGTTTCATCTCTACAGGTGAGTAGTATCTGCACACTGTCAGATGTCCGTCTGTCCTGCGTATCTGTGCAGTCCGTGTCGGAATTTGGGGAAGAACGGTGACACAGCGGTTTCAGCGATCCACTGGAAACTGGAAACTCAAGTTTGTTTCACTATGAATATAATTATTATCGGCTCCGTGGCCGTTCCTTCGGAGCTTTCCATTTTTATTCGAAGCTTGTTCCTCTGGGTTGCGGGTAAACAAGGAGTGAGCGGGGGAATTAAAGAGGCGAGAGTGGTGGATGCTGGACGGGAAGGGGCGAGAGGGCTGAGAGGGGAGGGACGAATAATTTCACGAAGCAGTTTTCGTGTGAAAATCTTTTAATAATGACGCTTTTCATTTGAATATACCAGCGAATTGATGGTAAACTAGTGTTGATTTATTTTCTATTTATTGTGGACGATATTGTATGCATAATTATTAATTTATTTTTCATTTGTTGCGAACAATATTTTGTGGGTAACTATTAATTTATTGTTCATTTATCGTGAAAAATATTTTGTCGATATGTATTAATTTGTTTAGGAACTGTAGTTATCGAGGGTTCTGTAGATACTGATTTCATTTTAGATTATTGTAATCGAATGTTTTGCGGATATTGATTTATTATTGGATTGTTAGAGTGCATAGTTCTGGTACTGATTTTTTATTAAATTATTGTAGCAAAGTGTTCTGTCAAATATGATACGAAAATAATGGAAAATTGACATTCGATTTATTTCATTCGAGGAATTATTTAGTGAATGCTGAGCATTTACAAAATAATATAGAATGTGTTTTTTAAATATTTATTATTTTATTATAATTTTTATTTATTATAATATGTATTATGTTTTGAGTATTATTTCCCATTTTTAATGGTAAACATTAATTATATCAAAGTATTCTATTATTGTCTTATAATCTTTTAGTAATATATTTATTAGTTATTTGCGTGATATTTTATTTGAATACCTCTTGTTCAAGTAAATAATATTTTCTCGAATAGTATTTAAAATTGAATTTGAAGAACATGTACACACGTGTTCTTTTACACCAGCAACCGTTCATGTTGAAAGGATGAAAACAATATTATAATGGTGGGAGTTCGAAATATATGCTTTTAAAATATCCCATGAACTAGAGTGTGTAAAGAAAACCGTTTTATGAAATGATGTATTATTGTCATAACGTTAAGTTAATGAAGGAAGTTATTTGTTTAAGTAACATACTAACAATTCAAATTTTCAGTGATTTTAATGAATTATAAATGTTAATTAAATTTCATTCAAAGTTGTCTATATAAACTGTGAATCGAACTGCAAGCTATTTGGTTTTGGAATAGTTGTTCTTTAACGTACAAAATAAATATTAAACATACTGTTCCATGTCCAAAAGTATCATAAATGTTTCCAATGTTTTGAACAATTAATTTGTTCTCTTAAGAATATTTACCAAATTAAAACATTAACTTTCAATACTTTAGGTATACAAATATCTCATAATAATGAAACAAAATAAATATTGTACATCACAGTAAAAATCACAATGATTTTACTAGTATCAAAGTGGCAAGTAAATATGCCTATTTCTACACATATAAAATATATCCGATGTCAACATTGTCTAAAAACTCTTATAGACAATGTTGACATCGGATAATAAATTTTAAACTAAACTATGCAGTTGTGAAAGCGTTAAGAGTCAGAAGAAATACCGTAGATAGGTAAGAGGCAGTACTATTTCCCGCTGCAGCGTGTTGTAAAGAATATAGAAAGCTTTTATGGTCCACTTAACATGCACACGAGCCATTGAGAACCGTATGATAATTTGAAATTAAATTATAACATATTAATCTGTATAAATTCTCTTTGAAACTCCGACATGATGTTCAATGACGAATTTACAACGAAATCTATCTTTAAATTTGTAGCAATATCTTTTACCATTTACCATGATGATTATTACATATCAAATTAATTATTCAATATGAATAATTTATTTATCCGTAAGTTTGTTTATTAGTAAAAAGCAGCTGTCTTTATATTATCGTATAAAATGCAATGAAATAAAAGTCTCTATAAAAATTGAAGGTAACAGATACGGAATCTTTTAAAAACCGAAGATAACTATAAAACGTCTATAAAACGTTGTCTGATGTTAGCGATTACCTTCATTAACATAAAGATTAGAATATTGCACAACCCTTTTTGTCACGTAGTTGCTTTACAGTTCATCCACTCAGATGATGTCACGGAATTCCTCATTAATTGCATCCGCCATGTTTTCAGCGCTGCACCCGAGATTCAGGTAATACCAAGAAAGTAACTGGCCTTTAAAAACGCGAACTTGGGCCATTCACCTTTAAAGGTATTCTTGAACGAAAAATTTCATTTCCTGGTTGGGTTATTAAGAATTATCGTACTCTCTTGAAACACTAATGGCAAAACGCTTGAAATGTCTACTTATGTCAGATAATCAATTATTAACAATGAACAATTTATCAGTTCAAAATTTTAATGGTAGTGAAGTGCTAAACATTTCAGCGCGTTTGTTAGTCGCATAAATATAAAATACTCTTTTAAATATAAATATAAAATACTCTGTTCATTTTGTAATGTCGCATAGATACATATTTCATATTCTATATTTAGTGTATAAAATATCAAAAATTGTATATATTTCATATTTATTATATTTCGTATTCTGTACCCAAGAAAAAATTCCTATATATACATTTATTTTATGTTTAATAAATTAACACAGTAATTATTCTTAAAGTTTGCATAATTTATTTTATTCGGGCGAAGGAAGTTTGAACGACAAATCATGAAAACTTAACTCTTCTTCTTCTACTATTGAAGTTCCGAAACTTTTTTCGAGCAGTTTGGGGTTTTCGGGTTGGAGGAGGTGGATATCTGGCGAGATTATTTTATGAACTTTTAGATTGGAAAACGTTTAAGATCACCATAACAAAACGACCAATTTTTTTCAAATTTGCTCGAGATAAGCAGGGTGGTCGTTTTAAACTTGATCCCAAGATTGTACGTGAAGGGGTCTTTGCTGAAATTACCTATTCACGATTAAGGTCAAACAAGTATATATAGCTAATAGATATTCGTAATGCGTTTTTTAAGGAAAAACTTTTGAGGAACGTTCACCCTAAGTTGAAAATTTCAACAGAATTTTATTTCTTTTCTCCACATTCCGTAAGAAATTTTTTATTATTAATATTTTTAGGATTGCTATTAAAGATTTGATTTTAGTTTATTGAAAATACTGCTGCGATAAAGAAGCATTGTACAGATTCAATTTTGAGAATTTTATAATTTCATAAAACATTTGATAGGAACAATAGTGATAGCATATATCACCGAAGTAGATAATAACAAATAGTAATGATAGATATTAAGAATTATAAGATGATCTTAATTTTGTTAGCTGAGAAGGATTAAAGAAGGAGTCACTATATATCGTTTATATTGTATATTCAACAACCAAAACATTTTCACAACATAAAATAATATTACTCAACTGAAATATTATGAGATTAATGTTTAGTCTATGTTAACATACCCTTTATTCATCTTAAATCAATTATATCATTGATTATAAAATAAAAGTCTTCCTACGTTCAATAATATTGATAAAAATTATGTATATATACCGTCTGCTTAATTGTGCGCTCTTTATTTAAACAGTTGTATGCATAGTTTCCTAATTATGTACACACACATGTTAAGTGATGAGTCATCGGCATGTTGAGACGCTTCTGGCAAAATGCGTATTAGAAAACTTGAATTGACAATTTTAATATGTTTATGTATGTGTTAAATAAGTTTCAGCAATAAAATTAAATCTGAAGGACGTTTGACTGTACAGATAATACGTATGCAGTATATTTTAAAAGTATTTGATTACTGCAGAGTTGTCAATATAAATATTGTTTGATTATCTCTTAATATATTACAAAATAGCTACTTAATAATGAAAATAGTAGGTATATGCAATTGAAAAATGTTAACAGTGAACAGTGTATGTAAACTTTCGTATCGTGCCAATAAATTGAGTTTATCTATTATTATAAAACTAAGTTAAATTACGACATATTTAATTTAATTTACCATGTTATAGAATAGTACAAAAATATATTTTATTACAAATATATTTTCATTTATCATATCTCGTAAATTCTCATTTTCTAAACCATGTTTTACATTCACCTAACGTATCGATAGCGTTTACCAATTTAGCATGCGCGGTTACAGTCATGCATAAATTATCCGTAAACAATACTACTTGTGTCTCAATAGTCATGTTACGATCGCAGTCGACACTCGTACTACAAGTACGCTTTCGTAATGGTATACTATTATACTTACGTACTAATGTTACAAAATAATGCTGCAACAAATGTAGCTTGCTATCGGATACAATGATTTCAAATGAATTATGTTGCTATGTTTGGTGACAACCATTGAAGGATTATAATCGTTAATGTTATGCAAAATTGAATGCTCTTAGGCATCCATTTATCATTTTAAAATATTACAATTCAGTGACTAAAAGTTTTGATATTTTTCATCTGGTTTCAGTATTGTTGCATTCATATTTTGTATTACAGAAGTAATGTATTTCGTGAAACCAGAAATTTAATCTTTTAAAAATCAATAAAACTAAACTTTTTTAATAATAATGATGACATACTTCAATAATTTCAATTTATGTATACAGTAATTATTTCTGAATAAGTTCGTATAGAATGAGATTATAAAACTGTTATTATTTTATACATTTATCAGTTTTTGAAATTTATTTAATCTGTGCAATGATTAGTAAATAAAAAATAATTATTTAAATACTTGAATTGTATATTGAATTGTATATTCAATTTTCAAGTTCTTCCATTTATATCTATCAAGATTAATAAATGGAATTTTTACAATTCGCTTTATTCAATAAAATTAATTTTTAAGCATTAAATACTATAGTCACCTTAAACACATTACTTTATGTATTTATAATTTGCTAACTTCTATTAATTAAAAGGTAAATTTCTGTCAGTAATATTTGACAGACAGATTCATAATTTACAACATATCGATTGAACCAAACGTATTCATGCACGTATCATTAATTACAACACAGTACCATCAATATTTCGTTCATTCATTATCGACTGGCAAACTAATAATTTAATAATTCGATTCGATTAATTCACAAAATTAATTTAAACGCTATAAATTACACAACAAAATCGAAACAGTATTTCAATATACCCACAGCCATACATCGACAATGCTATTCAATTAGAACCATCACGGTGTCTCTCAGGGTTCATCGTCACTTTCACAATTCACTGCGTCACGAAATGTGTAGTACTCCTTGTGAATTCACTTCGTAGCCTCAACCTGGTTTAGTTTCTCCTTTTCGTCTCTCTCTCCCAGCTGATTCATCGTTACCTCATAACTGGCACTGGTCTTCCTCTTTGATCCCAGGCAAGTCGTGAAACAGGTATCTCCGAGTCCAAAATTCTCTCCGTCTTCGATGCTTTCGGGCATCGGCTGGTTGACAGTCTCCGGCAGATAGAGTGCTAAGAACCCAGACACAAGAGCCACGAATCCGAACAAAACTGCCGGAACTTTGGGGTTGAACGAGTCCAACAGCATGATCATCGGGGTCAAAGCTCCGCTGAGCCTAGCACACATGGATCCGATACCCAAAGCAGTGTTCCTGACCACGGTAGGGAACAGCTCAGCGGTGTAATTATAAATGACAGCGAAGGAACCAGCTATACAGGCCTTTCCAAACAAAACAATGGCTACAACCGCGGAAGCAGCCACGCTACTCCCCGTGGGCACACTGGAAGCTATGATGCAACAGACTCCGCCTATCAGCATGAAAGTGCTGACCACACACCGCCTTCCAGTCCTGTCCATCAAGCAGCACATTAGAATATAAGATGGCAGTTCGACGAGCCCACTCAGGAATAACATTAGGAAAGGATTGCCAACCAAATTGCCAGCATTTAACGATAGCCCATAATAGACAAGTGAGTTAGCAAACCAATTCAAACAGACGTTCAACATCTTCTTTCTTAAGTTAGGAGTTTTGAAGAGGTCCAGAGCTCCATAGGACCTGTCTTCTTGCCTGACATGCTGGACCTTGGCTTCGCTGATTAGCTTAGCTGCGTCGATATCTACATTGTTACCGTTCATCTTTAAACCTTTACGAACTATCACCAGAGCTTCGCTGACTCTGCCTTGGGCCCAAAGCCACCTAGGCGACTCATCCATAAGCCACCAGTGGCCGATTAGTAGGCTACTGTGTAACCCATAGGTGATCTGCAGCCACATTCTGTCCTTGATCACAGCTCCCCAGATAGCTACCAGCATGAATCCGACTGCAAAGGCTAACTGGAACATCACTCCGCAGACTGTCCTCTTGGAGGGACCAACCAGCTCCATGGTTAAGACGAATCCTGTGATGTAGGCGCCAGCTGATCCAAAGATTCCATAGAGGAATCTCAGACACAAGAAAACGTAATATTGGTTCACTAAAGCTACAGTCACTCCGAGGATCAGTTGAGCTACCGAGGACACGTAGAAAATAATCTTGCGGCCGTATTTGTCTGCCATGCTACCCAGCGTGACCGCACCGATAAAAACACCGAACATGTACATTGATTGAGCTAATGAGCCCATCCAGCGCTGGGAGCAAACAAAGTTCCATTCCATTCCGCGGGACGATTGGAAGTACTGAGTGTCGTAGGTCCAGGAGTCGCATTTTTGTATGGTATTGTTGACGTCAAGGTAGTGGCAAGCGTCCACGGCTCGAGGCAGGCCATCGATTAGCAATGATGAGTTCCAGGCGGATGAAACGTTTAAATGATTAAAGGGTTCTGGGACGTTGCATTTGTAAGGAGGTACGGCTGCTACTGTTAGTAGTGTTAGCATGTGAAGACCAGCTGTAAGGGCACCGATCACGTGCAAGGAGAATTGCCAGCATTGGTACTTGCCGAAGTCGCCTAGGTGGGACATCAGCTCTTCGAGGTTTCTGTCCACGCTCGCCATTGTTAATAATAAGTGGAAGGTCGGGGACTGAGACTAATGAAAAGATTGCTTGAGGTTAGATTTAAATTGAATAAGGGCTTTATTGAATTTTAATGATCGTCCAAATTCAATTTATAGTTGTATATTTTTTAATCTACTGGGTGACGGGAAAGGTTGATAGAATGAAACGAATTAATAGTTAAGGTAGAAGTAACTTTGTTGCACAAACATGTGAATTGGTTTATCTTGATGTTCACGAAACTAGATCACTCACTAACGTTGGTACAGTAAACGGTGGTCATTCGCATATTGACCATGAGTTGGATTTATTTTCTATAAAATTTTCTGGCGAGTTCAAATCTTCGTCGTATTTATTTCTTGTTTGGTTTTTGTGCTGATGTGAACGGTTATTGTTGCACGAATTTCGTGAGATAATTCCGAAGATTGATCTGAAAGAAAACACAGTAAAAATCAGATAAACATTTATGTACAAAATATAGATATAATTGAATCAATGATTAAAAGTGGTCGATAATATTGTATATCGTATAAACATTCAGTAGAATTCTATTAGAAACATTGTTCGAAAATCACAAGTAAACGACCATTAGCCCTTTTCGCGTTATCTATGCAATTTTAAAGTTATTCTATTATAAATAAAAAGAATTTCTGTAATTAAATTATTAATGTTTTAGCTTACAAAATTTCATGAGCGTGATATGACCTACACGAAGCAATTACTTTTGTAATTCGTTTGTGATATAAGGTACAATAAATTGTTTATTAATTCATTATTGATTTGTATGAATCTTATTGAATTGATTGTACAAAATATTCTGCTCTTCAACGTAAAGTATTTAATTAAAACAGTTTCAGCACTTAAAGGTAGTGTTTCCTTGCAGACAATATAACATTCCAAATTATGAGCCAGTATTATTTAATTATTATTGAAAGTTAAATAAAAAATATATCAATCGTTTTCATAATTTACGTAGCTAGAACCATGAAGAGTCAACGATAGTATGCTATTATGACTTTAATATAATTACTAATAGAAAAATAGTTGTGGAATCTGGAATTTAAAATCTGCCATTTATAAATTTTTACATTTTTTCTATCATTATCAGATATACGTCTTAAAATAACATAAGCCTCTCTGTGTAATTTTCTTTTTAACGTAATATCAGTAGAAATAATTTACATATTTATAATGAATGAATCACACAGTATACTGGGGAAAACCACATAGCACTTACTATAATTTGTGTGGTCAAGAATTTGATACATGGTTTCTTAGATAGTAACGTATACGTATTAAAGATGGCATTCCAGTGTTCGGAATTTACATTGGAAATAACAGATATTGACAGTGAAGGACTACCATACAATTTTTAGTTGAAGTAATATAATTGAAGTATACGTAATAATAGAATATAATAAAAAAAAAGACTGATACTTTTTCTAGATATTTACAAATTATAAGTTATAGGTTCGTTATAAATAAATGAAAACCAAAGATTAGTTAGTCTTCGTTAGTCTGTCTATTAGGTATAGAAAAGAAATTCCTTATTTGAAAATCTGCATTCCAGATTTAAACAAAAATTTAGTTTTTAAGAGTGAAAGAATTACTTCTAAATTAAATTAATTATTAATTTACTCTGAAACTATTTTGATCATTTTTTCACTCTATGGACTATATTCGCAGCAAAGTTGAACATACATTAACATTTCTTTTACAATGTTCACGCAGCACTCCGAAAGTAATATTAATAAATAGCACAAATCTATTTTTAAATAAGTTTATATCTTAATAAATGTTTTAAATAAAATTTTCAAATTGGGGGTACGTTCAATTTTGTAGCAATCATTTACGTAAATTACAATTCATAAGTTTTTAATCATTCTTAATATTCACGGGTTTTGAGAAAACGAAAGTTCGATATTTCTTATTGTAATAGCTTTTTTTCATTTATTTCAGTAAGCATTCTTTAATTATTTCATTCATTAATTTATAAATTTTGAATGCTTTCACAGATCCTAAAATTTTCTCATTTAAAATTATTTTGATTAGCTTCTCATTTTTAATTATATATCGATGATAGAATTCTTATTAAAAATGAAGGTACTTATTTTAACAAAACCAATCTGAAAGACTTCGAATACAATATATTAAAAACACACACACACACACACACACAGCTCCTGCTTTTTACACTAATTTAAAGTATTACAAAAATCACCAACATTCAATCCTATCGTTAACATTAAAAAATTTATGTTTCTCTCTCACTTGGTAAGCAATTCCAAACGTTCGAACGTATTCTGTGTTATAATAATAATAGAAATATAACTGTTCCGTGAAACACAAATGTCATTTTAATTGCACAGTATTGGAATGTTTTCTTTTCAATGAAATTTTCACTAATATTTATTCTTGTTTACACGTGTACACTTTGTCCACCAACGCTTCAGGAAGTTCTCGTGAAAGGTTTAGCATTCGACTGAACTCAGAATCGTATTACGGCCAATATAAACGTATATGGAACCGTCTTATCATGTGTACACCACACAAATATCAGTCGCTTTCGTTGCCAGCATCTGGACACAGGGTCGATTAATCTAATTTCGAAAGAGTTTCCATATTTGAGAATTGTTTCGGATAGATAAGCTTCGATGATGTAAAATAGAAATCTTTTCAAATGAACTATTTTATACCTATTTACTAAATAAAATGGGCTGCGATATAATGTTTACGGTCTGGCTTTCTATCCAGATTGTGATCTTCTGCGGTTATAGTGACTCTTGGCCTAGATGTAAAAGAAACTTGCATCTCTTGCTGGATAAATAACATGAAGAAAAGAAAAATAGTACTGTGTATAAAATAACGTCGATTTTCGTGAGAAAATTTCGGGAAGGGTTTTCCGTTAAAAATTAAAAAATTGATACGTTTAGTAAGTTGTGAAAAATAAATAAATTTTGTTTAATGTTTAGTGTTTTATAACATTTTTAAAGCCGTTTCCCTAATTTTTCAATTCCAATTATTTATTATGTAATATATTTCTTATTTTAGGAATTTTCTTTCCGGCTTAGAAAAATTAAAATGAGTACTGTTGTTGAATTGTATAGAATATTAAATATTATATCATATTTTAATATTTCTGTATAATAGTATGTACAATATTACGATAATCATAATAATGTTATTAAGTTTCTTTTAAAAATAATTGTTATTACACTTTTAATTAGCATAACAATTAGTCAAATCATTAAAAAATGATCTTATTTATATAATTCCTCATTAGTCTCGTATCATTATATAGTAGGTTTCTAGTAATTTCATATTGTTTAATAATCGTTTGTATGTAATTCAATCGACAAGCATTTTTACTTCTGTTTTCTGTTTATAAGAATTTAATTCACCCGTTTTATTTGTTATTGTGTTTAATAATCAAGTTGGATATCAAACGAATACTTTTGTCAGCTTTATCATCATCTTTCCAAATAGAAGCGGGATTAAAATTGAAGAAGCCTTGAGTGATTCACAACCAATAAAGTACTTTGTTTTGTTCAGTAATTCTTTTGAAGGATTCGCGTATTTTTGGTGAATTTTAATTAATTCCAAGATTTTACATTTCCATGTTTTTTCAGGCAGGAAAGTTAACGAACCGATTTCACGTAATCAATGCATTGGTGTCAACTGCAGCCGTTCAGTTAATAACATTCACGAAACCAAATCACTCGTGATATCGAATGTTATTTACCAGTCATTACGCGCAAAATATTCAATGTACGTTATAAATACACAAAACAACGATTAAAAGTAATTATTTGATTTTCCTTCAATTCCACTGCAATAATTTCATTATTACAAGCCAACTTCTTAATTGTGAATAATTTAAAATTTTGTCGATCCTCCTTCACTCAAAAATCATTTTCATTTACTGAAATAATCTGATTAAAACCTCCACAATTATTAGCTACAGAATTTGATCATTAACACTGTTCCAAAACCATTGTACTAATTATTAAACGTATAATACAAACTGAAATATGTCACGACATAAATTTCATTTGATATATAACCGATATCTAAACGACTTATTTATTAGAATTCTTCTTAAATTCAAAGCTACTTTTCAATAATAAGAAGAATAAGTCGATCGTGGTAGTTGAAAATTTCCTTTTCATTCGTCCAAGATTGAAGTTCACTTTTGTCAGGAAGGTGTCAATTTTTTAAGGAAACACACAGGATCCTCACGGCTCGTCAAATTAGTGTGAAAACTTTCCATACCTCAGGAGATTCGATCGTTTTCCTTCTTAATTCACTTCGGAGTAACCGGTTTCTGTCCGTTCGATTTTTCAGGATCTATTTTTACGTGTCTCCCGTAACGAAATTTTCGTCGAATGTGGTTCCATACGTTCCTCCAGGCTAACACGCGTTCAACCTCTCTGTCGTGCACCTCGTGAATGGCCTTGTGGATATCAATCAGCCATCTTGCCTGGTTACTTTCACACGATATTCCTTTCAACACAGTATTGCATGAAGGAATCAGTGTCCCTTGATCGTAATGCACCTTACTCGGCTACCGAGTGAAACGGTCAGTGCCAATGAACTCGCGTATGCATAAACGGCCACGAAATGATTTGAACACGCGTATAATCATTGGCCCCTGGTTCACCAATTATCATTTCTCGGCATACAATGCATTGACAAATGCATTCGGGTAAACAGTTTCGAGAACTCGTTTCGTGGTATTGATACATGTACCTTATTCTTGAAATTAATACATTTATGTCAGTTTAAAAATAAATTCTGCATTCTATAAAAGTAACATTCTGTATTAAATGAATATTAATGAAAGCAATATTTTATATTATTGTTAATTTTACAAGGCATGTAGTATGAAATATCATGATTACCAGGTATTTTTTGAGTGGATACTGTAAAATTATTTTTTTAAATATATATTAATTGGGTTTTTTAATTAGTTTGTATTGTAATACTATAAAGGTTTTGTATATTTTAATATATCATTAGTTATCCAGTATTTTTTCAGAAGAAAATGTCTATCTTTTTAATTAAACTCAAATTTATTCGTACAAGATTGGATACAATTATTTTTCTTTCATACACGATTGGAATTGATTTTATTGCAGTTCAGTAGCTGCAACCAATATATTTACATGTGGAATGCATTTATATATATTAGAAAACATATAGTTCGGTTAAGAAGTTGCTGACCTTGAGATTTTCTTGGTACTTTTATGTACGAATGCGTACATTGACTAATCCCCCAAACTATTTAACATTTACTTAATAATATTTCCCCATAACACCTGGCACTTGAAAAAATTCGTCGTTACGCGGTATGTATGCCATTAGGCTTAATGGAACACGAATGGTACCTATTTTATAAATACATATTTTCAGTATGCATGGAAATGTCCATTTATACATGCTACATAACATTTCTTTGTGACATAAAATATTTTGTACAAAACAATTTCATTTAAATATTGCCACTAGAGTGTACAACTATGGAATTAAAATTTATAAATAAATATTTAATTAAAGAGGTTTTCAAAATATTGACTTGGATTTTATTCGTACAAATGAATAATAATAAACATATAAATTTTATAGTCAGTTGCTAACAGTCGTGAATTAGTTAATGAATATATTAATCGTTTATAATACTTAACAATTCCAAATTTTAAACATACACTTTGATTTAATCTTGTACATCCTTACTGAAAAAAACCTATCGGAGTTGAACAAAATATTGAAACATTGATTTTAGAATTGGTTTGGAAAATTTAACTTTTCCTTTTCCGTAATATTGTGCCATATATCCTCGATACAAAAAATTGAAGTGTTGTAGTTAAAAAGTATCTATCGATTGAAAGAAAAAATAGAAATGAAATCTCATGCAGTTGAAGAAATACATCAGTGAATCATGGAAGATACAATATAGAAAGATGATAGGTGGAGCAGTGAGTGGAGATGTTACGTTTGAAACACGAAGTTTCGTGTAAATTGAATTTATAGTAATTTTATGATGCGTACGATATATATAATACATGCTCTTCACGGTGCACAATCTTCTCTACTGTCGTTTCTTCATTTTGTGAAAGGATACATTGAATTAAGGCCAGTTATGAAACGAACATCTGATACTGTGTTCAGTTGTTACATCGCTTCAATTCTCACAAAAATGCTACATAATAATTTCAATCCCAGAGCCATCTAATTTTTACAGTTTTTATAAAACACTCTTATATTCATAATACTTACGACATAACTTTTCATAAAAGATACCATTTATTTTAGGAGCTAAAGACCAGCCAATCACTCAGTGTATATTCCACGCATTAACTGAATAATAATGCTATAATTATTCTTAACACTTAACCAACCTAATGAGATCTCCCACTTTATCTTTTGCAACGCGTTGCCCTTTCTTGTGCTTATTTTTTTTTATTATTTAATAAATCTTAAATTGAGATCATTTGTAATTAGTCAAATACCTTTCTTGCTTTTATAAAACATGGTTTTTAATCAAATCAGTTAAAAGAGTTCAATTAAAGCGAATGAGGAACACTATAGTTACCGTCTTTTTTAAGCGGTTGCCTAAGTGTTAAAGACGGAGAACAACGTTGCAATGATGCAAATGGAACCCTACATCGCTACTTCATCGAGTGGAGCATACAAAAATTTTAGAATTGACTCGATACAAAAATATTTGATAAAAGAATTCAATTCACCGGTGATCAAATGTTGTTAGCAGTAATAATTATAAGAAAATTCGAACTTTATACCTGTTTTCTTAGATTTCAACTGAATATACGCTGTTATTTAACACTTAGACAATTGCCTGAAAAGAAACTACAATCTTATTCGTTAACTTTTCATGAAAAAACTGAATTAAATTATTCATTTGCAACTTTTGAATTTATATACAATTCGAGTGTTTTTATATGTTTAATTATAGATAGTAATAACAACAATGTTTGCAAAAATAATATTGTAGTGCGTTCTATTGTTACGTCTCCAATTTTTCAACTTTAGTTAGCTAGCTACTGTTTAAATGTAAATAAATAATTTGATAAATCATTTGCTTATTAACCTATCCACTGTGGAATTTAGTTTGAAAAATCTCTCGTTCTACGCGTAATAAAATAAAAAACTGAAGCGTGTACTCGTCAAACGCAGGGCGAAAGCACTTGAGGTATATTTTAATGAACAAACCAAAGCCAAACGAAGAAGAATTCATCGTTGAAAGAATTAGTATCATTTCAAGTTTTAAAATGACGTGTATACTCGTCAGACGCAATTAACCGGTTAACTTTGATTTATTTTAATGTTATAAATCAGCTGTGTAGCACCAGTGGTACATGCCGCTGTGAACATGTTAAACTAATTATATAAAAATTCTGTTGAAAAACTCACATCTCGAAAAAATCGCTTGCAAAATCCTCCGGGAAGGTTCGGTTCCTGTTTATGTCAGTCGTTCACTGAGAGAAACGAAGTCGGAACAGTCAATTAAATGATCCACGGCATCGCCGTTTTTCCGAGCTCGTTGAGCCTCCTTGTTCAATTATCAACGTCCCTAATTTGAACTTCGGAATTAATGGATCATAACGCGAAGGTAGGTTATCGTCTCGCAATGCCCGGTTACTTGATTGTTCCGCGAGGAATGTTGAACATGACTGATCTGTCGAATGCAAGATAAACTGGAGCAACCGTTACGAAAGGTGTGTATACGTGTAAATCTGTATATGCGTTTGCGTGTGTATATGCGTGTGCTTATCGAAGCACGTGTTAGTACTCAAGATCGTGAATTTCAAGTACTTCAATTGTAAGTAGTTACATGAAAGTACTTATCTATTCTCTTCTCGGCAACAGGGCCAGCTAAAAGCGTCTTAACTTTTACTTTTTGATTATAAGAAGCCGAATGAAGATAATTTTAATTAAAACGCAGAGCAAGTACATATGTACTTTCAAGTATTTTATTTTCTTATCCTTCATTAATTTAGTTAATTTCACTGGACTCAGTGTATTAATTTGTTAATTTAATAAATAAATAACGAGTGATTTAAAAGAAAAGAAGTGTATCTTAATATATTCAATTTAAATTTAATATATGAAATTAATATTAGATTTAATATATACAATTTGAATTTAATGTATGAAATTATTATTGAATTTAATATATTCAATTATTAACTCCTTGTCATGCAATAACGAATGAGGCTCGCGATGCAAATTTCCAGATTAATTTAATAAAAATCAATGTTCACTGTCCACGGATCAAAGAAAAAGTCTATTTTGCTATTACCAATTTATTGTCTTCAAAATAAATTTGCACTTACAATGGAATAGACAATTTGTTTACGTTTCTTCCAAATTGTCGATGGTAAAAAGTTACGTAAACCTAGTAGCGAAAGTGAATAATACGACAAGGGGTTAATTTTAGTTAGTTCAAGTGAATTTTATTAGACAGAAATATGTTTCTCTGGTAACAAAATGAATACTGGTTTTATTTGGAATTCTTGCGAGAGTACTGGTTTTTCATAATCACGGATAATTGATTAGAAAGGAACAATTACAGCATGGATTTTCAGTGTACGTAGCAACGATTCTTAGAAGAGAAAGTCATTGTCCGGTGCCTACCTATTGACTGTTTATGCGACGAGTTTATTTTATGCTAATTTGACACTGTCCGTGGGCTTCGTAGATTTGCATTATCGATGCGCAACTTCATTCAAATCAGTTTCCGCTTGGGAATAAATTTTACTTGTAGTGGCATTAGTTCGGTGACAAATGATAGCGTTTTAATTGAAAGAGGAAAGTTATTCCGTTATTGGAAATGCGAGATTGATATTATAGTTGTTAGAAGAAAGAAAAAGAATCGTGGTACATAAAATTAATATGTGCGAAATGAACTATTCAATTTAACACTTAAACTATCAGACAGGTCAAAATGATCCATTCCCCTTCTTTTTGCAATTATTAAAAAGATAACAGATGTTTTTCTGAAAAATTATTAAAGAAATTGATTTAGCAATACGCAGTTTGTGTTATAAATGAATTAAAGTTACAATAGATGCACTCTTGGAGTTTTTATAGAGGAATTTCGAAAAGTCAATTTAACTGCTTGTTAGTTTCAGTGTTAATAAAAAATAATAATAAATTTAGTTTAATAATTAATATTCCATCTATGTAACGAAATTATGTAATCATA